GAAAGCTCAGTTCTCAGGGAGTCAAAATAGTATTGCTCCTCAAATTAAGCACCCCATTGTTATGAGTCCACAGTCTGGAGGGGAGGGAACTTGGTCAAAATGAATTTTCAGAGCAGGTATGATACAAAACCTTTAATGGTCAGTGTCATAGCTCTATAGCATATGGCGAGTTCAACAAGAACCATATTGCATGTTGGAAGGTCCAGCGAGGATGTACCAGTCAAGTCAGCTCTGTTCATGTACCTTAGCTTTAGACTAATGCTGGTCTTGTAATGTGAACTCTGGTTCTTATGCACATGCACAACTTTGCCACATTCAATTTATTGTTTATTTTTGCCCAGCAACATTCATATTAATGACATTTTAACAATGTAGACAACTCAAAATTAAGCTGCTAAAGATGTCTTCATAGCCTGCTGATAATTTTCCATTCGTTACCTTTCCAAGGGTCCTTTGGCCAGGTGCTGCAGAAGCATTGGCCAGGTACAATGTTCTCAGGGCCCTTCAGCCTTTGCCATATCCTAATTGTTTGTCATTCACTACAGGGAGATTTCAGTTTTAGAAGAAAGAGGCCCCAGGCAAAATTGAGCTACAAGCTTTTTTTGTGTTGTTTACCATTATCTTTATTTTACTACAATTTTGAAAACCCCACCTGTGTCAGGGCCCTCCCTGTATGGTACGCTCTATACAAACACAAAGGAAGAGAGTCCATTACCCAAAGAATTTTTAAACTAACCCCCCAGACAGATACGAGGAAGGAGCAGGAACCAGCAGTGTTGAGGTGACTTGCCCAAGGTCTTACAACAAGGCAGAAGCAGAGCTGGAAATACAACCTAGGTATCTTGAATCCTAATCTAATGCTCTATCTGTGAACTTTCACTATCTGTGAAAGAGGGTGTAAACTACCCTCTTTCTGGCTATAGTTTCACCAACTTGTTCACTTACAAAATAAGTTACTTTAGCAAAAAAGCAAAGAGCTGTTGCACAGCATGTGAATGTTTAATGTATTGAATGAATCTTCTGTTCAGCACCACCAGATGCATGGCCTTTTTCCAACATTAAGGGGGTCAATAGCAGTGCTTTTGAACAAAGGTTCATTCAGTTCCTGTTTGGTAATTGTAAAATTAGATATTTTACCATGTAGTTCTAAACCCAGCTGTAGAAAATATTTTCATTTGTAAAGCTCTCTAACCCTATGTGGAATAGAAGCACAAAGGGTATCGAGCATGTTTAAGTGGATCAAAATTAAAAGATAAAGGAACTGCGAAAAGCCAAATGTTGAGCCACAGTCCCATGATGGCTGTTTGAATCTGTATTAACAGTTTCTTCTATGTTGGTGAATAAGGAAGTTTGTTACAGGAATTGCTGAAAGACTTTAAAATAAGTCTCAAAGGAAGGGCATCAGTGATGGACACAATCCTCTTTATTGAGGGGATTAAAATATTCAGGGCTTTATGCATGATGAAAGAACATGAGAGTCACTAATCCAGTGGGGTATGTGTCTCTCAAATTACTGGTCATGGCATACACTCTTAATCCCCTGATGGGGATATTTATTGATCCCTTTAGAATACACCCATATACAGGCTGATTCATTTCCAAGAAAAAGCAAGCCTTGTGAAGTTCCCACTCACAGTGCTTGCAAATAATAATTTGATTGTTTAAATATTTTACATTATAGGCTTTTGAAAATATTGTCTCAGTAGTTCACAGTATCTGGGTTTAAAAATGGATGAGTGCTATAACTCTACGCAATGCTATAAAAGGGGTGTGGGAGATCTTCCTCTAATGAAATGTTTTAGAAAGGTGATCACAACTGTATTTTGCAAGGAGCCCAATTCTTCCATTACATATTGGGCATGCTCAGACTTGTGAGCATACCCATGGTTTAAGTGGGGCGATTCTTAGTTCCTAATGAGGCTTAGGCCACAGATAGCTGGGTCACTGCTCAGATTGGGGCAGCTCTGGGCATGTGTAGAAGCAGATTGTAGCCATCTAGAGTTTCCAGATGAAACAGACATGTTCTTAGCAAATTAGGTGCCTGCTGAGCAGGAGTTTTTAAGTTGTAATTCTGGTTTAGGCACCTATGTCTTCATGTTGATCCAACAATTAATTTGTAGAACACGGAACAGTTTCAATGGGGGAAACTCAGTTGTTAGCATTCTCCTTAGAGGTAAAAAAATCTAAGCTCTCCTCCAACTAAGACAGAGGAGAAATTTGAACCACTTCCTATTCACTGGACTATAAGTAGGGACCTAACTAACTTGCTGTGAGAGAGAGCAATTTTTGAGGCTTGGTCATGGACCAAAGAGCCGATTTGCAGTGGCCCATCCCTCACTACTGATTGATGGAGAAGCCCTGCCCCTTGGCCCCAGGGGGAGGAGGCACAACAGGGCAGCTGCCATTTTGACTGCTGGCTGCCCTTTGTATAGCCCTGACTCTCAACATTGATTGGTAGAGGCACAAGGGGACAGTCACCATCATGGCTACTACCCTTTCTGCCACCCTGCAAACCAGTACCTTCCCCTCCCAGAAAGGCTGTGAGGCTGGGTCACAGCAACAGGGTAGACTGCTGGCTGCTACTGGGGAGCCAGAATTTTTGTTGTTGTTGTTAATTTTCTGGGAAAGCCAATGCCACTTTTTGCGGTGATGACAAAGATTGCCATTTTTCAGGTTCTGCATAAATCGCAAAACCATGATCTAAGTAGGTCTCTACCTCTGAGGAAGCCTAATATCTCCTCCACGCCACATCTGTGCAAAAGACCCATTCTGATAATACCCATCTGACTGGGCCCTGTAGGTAAAACCACCACGTATGTGATTTTTAGGAAGTGTCTTGTAGAACACTGAGCTGCTAGTTCCTATCATGACTTGGGTGGTTGCGTGCCTTGTCGAACAGCACAAATGTAGGTGCCCATGGGACTTATGTATCTACCAGTTTTGTAACCAGGGAATTTAGGAATTCCCAGGTTTATCAAAAAGCTAAGCAGAGGTTTTCATTATTTGAAGCTTGAACACAAGTACTTCAAGTGGCAGTTAGCTGCCTATGTTCCTTTGCAGATCTAGTCTTAATGCTTTCAGTAATGTGTGAAGTGACACAAGATTGTGTGCAAAACAAAATGGAAACTGCATAGCAGTTGATTAATGTTTAAACTAACACCTATCAGAAAAAAAAATATCAATCCTATTCAGAGATGTCTTTGGTTACTTATCAAATAAGTAGCTTCCTGGTGTGCATCTCCAAAAGCATCTATTCAATCTTAATCATCATATTTAATTCACTAATCAACAGTGTTTTAAAGCTCAATAAAATAAACTCTGAAATCAGATCAGATGCAACTATTCCTTCCTGCCAACATTACAATGAATTTATGTGCAGTTTTAGATGACAGTGTTATGTTGCTGTGTATGAATTGCTTTCAAAATGAGTTGAATACAAAATATTTGATGAACAACGTTGATGTATTCTTTCCTTTATAAATGTAAATCAGGCAGAGGAAATTTAGCAGCATATTAAGAAAACTGATCAAGTAAACACTACCGAATAATTTAAATCAATTCATTGAGGTATCTGAGCACTAGATAGATAACATTCTTTAATATTCAGGAGGTGCATGCTTAACCTTGGGCTCTAGATTGTTTTAAGGAAGTACTCTCTCAGAGTTTACTTTTCTAGAAGTCTCAATTGAGCCACAACCTCTGGGCAAGTCTTGCAATATGCAGACTGCAACCCCAGGTTTTCTGGGAAGGAAAATGCAGGAAGGAGTGATTGTTTTTGTTCGATAGGCCATTGAATGACAAGGAGGATTATAAAATTAATTTATATTACAAGAGCCCCATTCAGTACCCAGTGCACCAAATTCAGTCCATAGGAAAAAAAGGTACCAGATTAGGACTGTAAATTTAATGTTCTCTGTTGGATGTTATTACATGCTTCCCATGTTCCTCAGTCTCTGTGCCTTGGTTTCTTCATTTGTAAAATGGAAATACTTCTCTCATGCACATGATGCTGTAAAAGGAGACATCATAGTAACAAATGCCACAGAGTAAGTCATTTAGTATAATCTATAGCAATGTTCTTGGATAAACATTTTAAGAATTAAAACATGTGCAATGGCAGGGAAAAGATACCTTCATCATAGTACAGTAACTATTATGGAAACTAAAATATATCATGTATTGTCTTCTCTAGCAGCACATTTGAAACACTAGCAGCACATTTGAAACAACTCGTCTGATACCGTGTATGCACCAGATTTTGAATATTTTCCATATACTTACAGGTATTAGCTTGTATAGGTCTTTTAAATATGGCATCTGCAATTTACTAAGTCTCCCTTTCACTTAATCCAATTACAGAAAGCAGAAGGGATATCAACAAATATTAATCCCTTATATGCAAAAAACACTTTTTAGAAGCCTTCTGTGTTTTTAAATATGCTGTCACTCTTGGCTGCTAACAATCAACAATTTCATGCATATTTAGCGATCTGCAAAAGAGTCCTGCAATCTTGTGTACTAGTCAGCACTGTGCATTCTTTAAATCTTCACATCCGTCTACAGTTACAGTGGTGAATTCTCTTTCCAAGGGTGTTTCTGGTCTGAGGGATATCCCATATCCTTGAAACAGGGAATACTGGTCTTTTTTTCCCCTAATCTCTCTCAAAACAGAAACAGCTAAAGGAGACCACTGTATCTACAACTTGGATGGCGATTGGATGTTCCCCAAAATCACTTCCTATACACTATCCACTCAATAAAACTGAACCCTTTTGCAGCTGCCATCATAATTTTCACTATACAGTTCATTTTCCAAGAGGTAAATAAGGGTCTGCAAGAGAGCATGAAGACTGTGTACAGTATGTTCTTGCACAGCAAGTGGCCAACAGAAAACAAAATATGGGGCTTATGGTTTGGAGATTGCTAGCCCCTTCTCACAGCCATGACTACAAAGATTTTCTGTATATCCACCAGGGGTCACCAACACCGCATTACAAACATTCCACAGCATGGTATGTAACTTTATTCTTCTACCATAATAATTTAAAGTATTTACACACTGCACAGTCACTCTTTTACACAAACATATACTTATTGGTATATCCATGAACCACATCTAAAAGGTTGTTGCAAAGACTGACACATTGTGGGGTTTCCAAGCATAAAAATAAAATTTGAAGCCTTCTAAAAGACAGCCATTTGGTGTGTCTGTGAAAACCAGTGTTCCCTCTAAGCTTAAGTTCTCCCCAGAGACCATTCACTAGCTTCAAAATATCCATATGTTTGGCATTAACTAAAGCTCTCTTGGCTATGGTGGACTTCAAGAACCAACATGTGCAAATAACATTTTCTCAAGAATTCCCACAGCAGGAACAAGAAAATGAAATCTACTTAAAGGAAGTACTATATTTCTGAAATATTACTTATCTAATTGTGAGACTCTTGGATATTTGTTTAGGTATATGCATGGGATTTGGGGACACAGGAAATTAAGTAGTAGACAGACATCATTTACTATGTGCTTGCTAAAAATTCTAGCTTGGCTCCCCAAAATTCATCCACAACAAGTTTAAACTCTAGCCACTAATGGGGAAATTCAGCCATCCAAAATATGGAGATCTCTTCATAATGTTTTAAGCAGCAAAACAGTTCTACTTTAGACCAGGACTCAGATTACTAGCAGTCATTTTTGGACTGAGTTGACCTGAAAGGTTTTAAAACAGGAAAGTAGGCAGCAAATGGATTAGCTATAATGCTCTAGCATGTATTATTGGTTGGTCTTCCACACTGAGTAGACTGAGTAGCCAAACCAAATATTTTTCTTAGGCCAATGCAGGTATTGCATCTTTCACCCATTCCAGGAAGGAGTTACAGGCACTCCTCACTTAACGACTGAGTTCCGTTCCTACGACTCGGTCGTTAAGCGAATTGGTCGATAAGCGAGGAGCCGCCCCTCACCGAGAGCAGTTGGCCCCCAGGGAAACAGCCGGGGATGGGAAGGCGCTGGCCATGGTGGTGAGTCCTGGCCGCTGCCCTCCGGGTGGATGCTTCTCCCCCCTCGTGGGTTCGCGGAGCCGGCTGGAGGGTGCCGGGCTCAGCTCCACGTCCCCCTCAGCTTGACGCCGCGCTGCCAACCAGCTCTACGACTCTACGGACAGCTGGTCGTAAGTCCGCGCGGTCGTTAAACAAGTAGGTCGTTAAGTGAGGAGTACCTGTAATTGGTTTCTCTGCCAACAGCAAACCTCTGCAAAATGCTAAACTGATAGTCCTGAAGCTATTTAGACATTATATGCAAAATTACAAGTATTTGATTCTTAAAGTCATAAAACCTTCTTTACCCAAATGAGCGACTCCATCAAGTTTATGTACCGAGTTTTATCAGAACAGAAGAAAGACTGTTTGAATTTGTTATTCACATGGCAGAAATCCACTAATCTCATATAAACTCTTTCCAAAGATGGAACAGAAACAGGTCCGACCTGTTACCATCACAAGCATGTTTTTGTATCAGTCTTATTTCTTTTTAAAAAACAGGTCAATAATCTTTATATACTAGCGCTGTGCTATTTTCTTGCAGTAATTCAAGGCACTAAATTGAATCAATGGCTAGTATCACCTCTATTCCTTTTTTGTGTAGAGAATATGAATGGGAGGCCTTTCCTCTATGTTCTACCACCCAAAACAAAAGCGTGGTTTACAGGTCACTTAACAATAACCCTGTCAACCAATTATATCATGCTCAAAGCATTATGAAGTTACTTCAGAAAAAAAGGAGGTGGACTGCTATGACAGGAATTCTTAAAACAGAAGAACAGTTATCTAGCACCTTCTGATATAACTACTTTTCCCACATGATTTTAAAAAGTCAGGTGCTCCCCTGGAGCTAAAGTAGCTAAACAATCCCTATTGCACAAATGCATTGGAATGAAACCAATAGTACTAACTTAGGAAGAGCAACTTCCAAAAGATCATGCTGAAATTAGCTGACCCATTGCATGCTACCAAGTCTGTTCTACCCACACGTCATAGTTGCTTTATAAGAGTCATTAGCAGTCACCCTTGCTTTCTTTAATGTTAGTACGGGAATTTTTGTTTTTGCTAATGCAATGGAGAAAAGAGATTGTTTCACAGACAAAATAAAGATTGGGTTTTGAATGATCCAACTAGAGACAACAGTAAAATACCACCTTTTTCAAAAGAGAAGATGAGTGATAGCCTTGAGAGTAATTAATGATGGAAGGAAGAACACCCACTGAAAGGCATTAATATAAAAAGGTTTTGTAAAAGTAGGTAATGCTTAGAGGGACCACTGGTTGTGGTGTATGTACATGTGTATATGTATTATACATAATGACCCAGAAACACATAAATATTTAATATATAAAAAATAAAGTGCTTTCTATCAGATCCCAACTCAGGGACATTATAAAACATTTCACCAACTGCAAAACAAAACTGATACAAAGAATACTACATCCAACATATGTGAACAGTAACACAATATGTACAGTCTGGTGGGCGTCCCAAGACAAACATCCCTTCATATACATGGTATATACATATATACTCTTAGCTTTTACCTCAATATATTATGACAATATATATTTTAAAACTTTGTTATAGTCAAAAACCCTACAAAAATGCAACAAGGATCAAGCACACAAGTCCAAGACTAACAAACAACTTGCTTCCCTTGACAAAGCCACCGGTTCCGTTGTTAGGGAAAATGTGCCAGCGCTCTTTCCTGGGATGCAGTGCCTCTACATCCTGCAAGGCACTGTGGGCTGCTGCTGTGAAGTTGGCATCACCAGTGGTGAGCAGGTCAAAGACACATGAGTAAAAATAGATGTCCTTCACTAATATCTTCTCATGGCATTTGGTAGTGGCACTCTCCAGTGTGTACACAGAGCGGGGCTGAGTGGTGCCTGCATGAGAAGGAAGCTGCCCCATGACAGGCAATGGCAAGTGGCCACTGTCATCAATACGTTCACTTGAGGGACAACCATTCACACACAGCTGCAGGTCTTGGCTTTCTTCGTAAGCCATGGCCAGCTCTTCTGGCATACGAATAGCCAATGTAAGGTAGCGCCCGTGCTGGCGCACAAACACAGTTGTACCAATGTACCTGGCATGCATTTCCATGTATTTGCCACTGACTTTCTCCACAATGCGCAAACTCTTGGTGTCACCATCACCTCCACTTGTTGTTCCATCTACAAAAGCCGCTGGTAAATCGTCGGTCACTGCCTGGTATACCTTCTGATCTGTACAGTCTTGGTATGATTTAAAGATAATAGTTATCTGGAAGATGAGAAAAGAAAGAAAGTTAGAAGGAAAAAAATTCATCCTGGTCCATTATCGCAGTTGTAGACTGGCCACGATTAAGGGAAAAAAAAAAAAGGTACCCATGTTGGTCATCATTCACACTTACAGCCTGGTAAACTCATCTAAAAGCATTCTTAAAATTTTAAAATCAACATCCTTGAAGATGGTGACTGTTATAAAGAGCTATTCTTAAACTAGTACCAAATACTATGAATACTGGTGTCCAGCAATTGCAGAGGAGCTTGGGAAAGGGAAAGGTTGGGTATTTCAGTATGACGACTCCCTCCTTCCTAATGCTTTTTTAAAAACAATTTGGGACCCCTCTGCAGTTGCAAGGAGTTGCGTGCACCATAATGCCCACACCACAACACCTTGTGGTGCAGCCAGTTTCTGCCCTTGAAAGAAGTGTATGCCCCGATGGAGTAAGTGCAAGGGGAAAAATCGGTAACCTCAATGTTCTAATTCTGACTCCGTCACTGACCTCATGATCTTAGGCAAAGAAATGGCTGCACCCTGCATGTTGCCAGGATTCATAGATTTCATAGACATTAGGGCTGGAAGGGACCTCGGAAGATCATCGAGTCCAGCCCCCTGCCTGAGGGGCAGGAAGTCAGCTGGGGTCATAGGACCCCAGCAAGATAAGCATCCAAATTTATCTTGAGGGTGTTCAATGTAGGCGCTTGAACCACCTCCAATGGCAAGCTGTTCCAGACCTTGGGGGCTCAGACAATAAAAAAATTCTTCCTTATGTCCAGCCTGAAACGGTCTTGCAGGAGTTTATAACCGTTCAACCATGTCATCCCTTGGGGCGCTTCAGTGAACAATCGTTTGAGTTTAAGCTATGGTAAAGTACCATGGAACTACCAAAGTGATCAGCATTACTTCTGCCATCAATGAGCAAGCAGCAACTAGTCACACACTTCCCTGGAAGGAATCGCGTCAAAAGTTGTTTATTCGCAGTATGTGGATTTATAAGCCTCGTAAACTGGGCGATTTGACACCTCCAGTCCACCAGCCAAAGAACATACGTATTACAGACAGAAAGGAAAAATAAAACAGGTGGCTTACAAGCAATTGTGTGGAAGTCAAAGAGACAATGAACAACGATCATTTGCTTTTAAGAGGTGACTTACAAACTCAAAGTTTATGCCAGTTACTGCTCTTTTGTGATTCCTGCAAAATAACCTGAAGTCTTTAAAAGGTTATTGAAAACAAAATACAATAGAAATAAAAGTCCTCCAGTCTCAGTCTTTGCTGGAAGAAGCAAATAATGTATTGGCAATCTGAGAACTTAGAAGAGGATTTTTTTTTTTAAATATCATATGTGAATCTAAGTAAATCTGCAGCTCCCTTCTCAACTGTGAAGTGACTGAAAAGGGCTTAAAAGGTCCCTTCTTCTCCACTCCTCCTCACTGGAAACAGGCAGGATTTGGGTAACTATCGTCAGCCTTGACATATCCAGTCTATGTCAAAGTAGAAGGGGAAAAAAAAACAGCTGTTTTCAGTGCATCATTTATGCACATTCCCAAAAGCTTCAGAATATTAGAAAAATGCATTATAGTGGACATTTTCCAAATAACACTATGCATTTCTTTAAAAATCTTTATTTTACAGCAGTCTTTTGCACATTTTAATTTCAGGTAAGCACCACATTTGCACACAGCAGCTTTGGTTTCTGGCTTCTCTGCTCACAATAAGAGTTAAAAGGGTAATAAGAAGCTGGATTACAGACAGTCTGAATAAACTCCATCCTCTTGGAGAAGGAAAACTAAAACATTAGTTTTGCACCTACATACATGCCTGTGGTAAATAAGAGTGAAGTCTTCCTTTACTCCCCTCCTGCTCCAGAACTTCTCCAAACACAAAATACTGCTACTTTAGTTTTAAGGTTTCATTTGCTCCAGTTAGTTAACATTAGCACACACAGCACTAGCCATTTTAATTCCACATGCTCCCACCGGTGCTGTCTGCCTGGAATTTTCCAACCGTTCTCCTTGCTTTAATCAGTTAGTTATACAGCTAGCTTGAGACCAGCTGCAGTCAAGCAATCTGTTAAATTCATATCCGTAGGCCACAGCTGAGACTGAAGGGCTTTGCTCAAAATCCAGACGGTGTACAAGTACTTTCCCTGAGAAATTTTGGTGCTTCTGTCTCCTACAGCAAGACACCATTCCACTTTACAACATCAAAATTTGGGCCAGGACAACACAGGAAAGATGCACGTAGTACCATCTCATGAGTCCTTTGTTCCCTATTTGACTCCAGTGCCTCATTCAGCAAATGAAGTTCCAACAAAAAGAGTGCCTTGTAAACACAGATGAATCTAGTGGCCCTACACACAAATAGCAAGGCCGCGCACAACTGTTGCTCAACAATGGCCGAATGATTTACACTCCTGCTG